TTGTTCCAAGACCTATCAAAGTAAATATATTATTTAAAATCAGTGTAGTATCATTAATTGCCAATGCAGAAAACTCTGAGAGATGTTGTGCGGTCACCTCGGGTCCTTCCCTTTTGAATCGAGAGTATTTGAAATCGTAAGCACAAAGCTTAGTGAGTTCCCTAAAATACCAAATACCCAAACATACGAGTATCTTGGGTTACCCCCATGGTCTTTACTTGCAATGCTGATGGCCAATTCTCAGTCTTACACATAAGTGTCATGGGCTATCCCCATGGTCTTTCCTTGAAATGTTGAGGGCTAAATCCCGGTCTTACATACAAGTGTCATAGGATACCCCATTGGTCTTTCCTTGCAATTTTGATGGCTAAATCTCGGTTTTACATACAAGTACTAGGGACCAAATCCTAATCTTTCATATAATCATCACAGAGACAACTAGCATTCCAAATAACAATTAAGGTGTCGGCATTGGTTCTTTCAACCCATGGATATAGTGAGCAAAATCACCTCATTGTCTCAAAGAATAGTTGCACTGATCATTGCTCTAAAATCTATCTCTACTGGTCACTTATATAATTAGTAGGAACCCAAATCTTAAACTATAAATCAAATTACCCCAAATGCCCCTAGGTATTGGTCAACCTGGTAAAAGTAAAAGTCAAAGGTCAATGTCCAAAAGTCAATATTCCCTTCCCAACAGAGTATGTCCTGCGTACCATGAGAGTACGCCCAACGTACTCTAATGTTGACCAAAATCGGGGCAATGATTGCATACGCGCAACGTACCACCAGGTAATCCCAACAGACACAGACCACTCCCAAAACTCCATTAAGAGCTTATTTTATTAAGACCTTACGTCCAAAACTCATATCCAAGCCCAAAATGATGTCCTAAGTCATAATGTTTCCAACTTTATGACTTTGCATGGCTATAAAGTGTTTAATGTCCAAACCTCTAAGTTTATAACCCAATAAGACATCACAACTTTTATATGGAAGGTATAGAAGGGATAAGATCACATTTTTATGGTTCATAATAGCTCCATAATGGATAAAGTTGTTGGGTTATGAGCAAAACCTCAATCCTATGGTGTACATGCAAACCCTAAAGCTTTGGATCTAGATTTCTCTAATTATACATGCAATAATCATCCAAAGCTCTCAAACCCTAAAACTAGCATACCAAAATCGAAATTAACATCTGAAAAACAAGTTAGAAAGTTACCTTTGATTGTAGTTTGATGATCTTTGAGCTTTTGAGAACCTAGCACCTTAAATGCAATACCTCTAATGAATCACAAACACCAAAGCAATTGGAGAATGTTAGAGAGAGAGAGAGAGAGAGAGAAAGAGAGGAGAGGTAAATTTCGGTTCAATGAATTCTTCTATGGTTTTGGTAGCCGAAAATTGGATGCTTAGGGGTTCTATATATATGTGAGGAATTAGTGTTTCAGTCAAATACCTAATCTGGTTGCTTAAGCCCTAAGCAGCCCGTAGGAACATTCCAAAACCATACTCTTGGATGAGTTCTTATGGGCTATCCATAAGATTTCTTCCACCCCTATCTTTAGGGATCCTCAACCCATTTTGCAACTATCTCATAATTACAACTTCAATCCCCTTAATTCAATTAACCTCTTTTAACCACAAAATTATTTCTAAGTTAATTCTTGACTAATGTTAATTAAATAATATGATTTCTATTTTAATATGTTATTCATATAATATATTAATAAACCATAATAACCTATTTCTCCATTATTCATCCAGTCAAGTTGCTCTGGTGAACGCGACCCAAAAGGACCATGCTACAACCGGGTCAAGTACATACCAAATATAGTTATGGGCTTAGACACCTAATCCAAAAGTCTCCCACTTGGATAAGTCTAATAACTATAAATGCAAGTACGGCTTCAAAATCCGATTAGCATCGTAGCTCTCAAAAGCCGTTGTCGAACTCTGATACGTCCTTTAGATAAGGGATCGTATAGTCCTCCATTATCAAGATGTCTTGTGGACGATTACATGGAACATAGTCATACTTATTGTCCAGCAGTTTGTTTCACGATCTCTAATTTGTCTGACATAGAACTTAATTGAACACATCAATCCAGTCCTAATCGGGCCTGACACATAAGTCAAAACAAAATCATCGATGGGCCTAAGATATTGCGTTTAGCCTTGTAGGATAAAAAGAAAAGATAAACTTCGACTTATATGCTTGTACTATTTACTCATCAAATTGTACACAGCAATGTGTTTTATAACATCAAGTTACAGATGCGTTTACGCATTATCAATGCACAACCGACTCGTAAACAAAAACTCATATATCTAGGTTTAAAGACTATATGATATTATCATCTCACAATCACTCGTGATTAAATTCCATGAAGTGATTCATGTGAGTGCAATTTTAGTCCAATGCTCAACTCATATTTCATATGCACTCATGAACGTTGCAGCAAACTTTTACTATGTCTAAACACCTTTATTTAATCATCAAAATGTCAATTACATATTTATTTAATCATCAAAATGTAAATTACAATTTATCAATTACAAGTTTCTAAAAGCTATCTAATCACTAAAATTAATATCGTCCTTCATCCTAATGCACCTAGCATGCTACAAGTGCTTAATCCTACTCAGTCCCTTCGTAAGGGGATTTGTTGGGTTCTCCTCTGACGATACGCTCTTTACTATGAGGAGTCCCTCTTCTACCCGATGTCTAATGAAATGATATTTTATGTCGATACGTTTGGATCGGTCATGATCCCTCGGTTCCTTGGTCAAGGCAACTACACCTTCATTATCGCAGAAAATCTCAATAGGCTCCATTATGGTCGGTACAACTCCAAGGTCTCCAATGAAGTTCTTTAGCCATATTGCTTCCTTTGATGCTCTGCTCGCTGCTATGTACTCTGATTCGCATGTTGAATTAGCTACACTCTCCAATTAACTTGGAACTTTTCCAAGTCACTGCTCCTCCATTCAGGGTAAAGACCCATCCCGACTGAGAGCGGGAATTATCTTAATCGGTCTGAAAATTGGCATCACTATACCCTCGCACTCTCAAATAATCACTCCCACCGAGGAAAAGGAACCATTCCTTAGTCCTTCATAGGTACTTAAGAATATTATTTCCTATGGTCTAATGTGCTCTACCAGGGTTCCCTTGATATATGTTGACCATGCTCAAAGTGAAGGCCACATCAGGGCGAGTACACATCATATCATACATGATTGAGCCAACTGTGGAAACATAAGGGTACTTTGCTCATCTCTGCTATCTCGGCTTTCAGTACTCGGGCTTTGAGTCTTACTCAACTTGGTATTGTGAATGTGTGGCTGTTATGTATGTAATATTAGGTATAGAACCATCAAAATTGACTTCATTTTGATTAAGAAACACGGTTGTTTTTATTTTTAGCTTTTTCCTTTTGCTTTTGAGCTCACATTATTTCTGATTTCATAATTTATCGCCAACATCTATGTATTTCGGATGTGTTGTTTATATTTAACCTCTAGTAGGCTTCATAACGTTTTTTGACACCTACCATATGTATACTTGCATGGTTCTTTTGGATGTGTTATAAAAAGAAGTTTATCAGGATTTTAATGAACAATTTCAATTTTTCACGATAGTTTTCTATATTAAATTTGAATATGAACATTTATAAGTAGTTGATAATGTATTCTTATACATAGTTTGTGGTGTAAAATTAAATATTTTAAACCCCATAAAAATATGTACAAAGCCTATTATCTAGTCTAATAGAGGATAGAAGAAAGATAGTAGAAACATTTGATTACATTTTGTACCTAAGTTTGGGTATAGAACCTTTTAAATGACATAGTTTTAAACAAACAAATATAGTTTCATTTTCTTTTAATTTTGTTTTAAAATAATACCATTGAAATAAATTAAATTATGGAATGAAAAATATCAATTATATATCTTTTTATTACAAAACATCATTGAAATTTATATAGAAAATAAAAAATCAATAGCTTTTAACGAATATAACAGAAATGTTTTGCCCTTCAATTGAAAAACTCTATCGAATGATTTGTGAAAAGCTTGTTTGGGTTATTCATTGTTCTTCTTTTATATTTTATTCTACTAATTTTTATTTAAAATTTAGTAGGCTTCATTAAATGGTCATGACTTTTAATTAACTTCTTATATACAATGAAGGAAAAACAAACATAAATTTGTTGAGTTTAGTATGTCACATAATTAAGGAAGAATAGTAAACGAGATATCATGATCATTTTGGATATATATGGATCAAAACTATATAGTTTGGAGGGTTCTATATATAAGTTTAAGTACATAACAGTTATATATTTCTTAAGTCTATATATATATATATATATATATATATATATATATATATATATATATATATATATATATATATATATATATATGTCCGATTTCTATGAGCACTCATTTTAAAGTGAGGACTTGTAAGACCACCTTAAAAAAATTAAAAAAGAAATACAAATCATAAAATCGAGCATAGATTTAAGTTCGGGAGAAATAAAAATTGGGAAAAAAAAATTGTATTATTAAAATTGATCCATGACTCAATTTTAATTTTTTATTTTGCATCATTATCATCCATGATTCAATTTAATGATACACATTTTTTTTTTCTAATTTTTTTCTCCCGAACACAGATCTATGTTCAATTTTATGATGCGTATTTTTTTAGATTTTTTTCAATTTTTTTAAGATACATTCACGAGTACTTACATTAAAATTTGTTATCACCCGATCCTATATATATATATATATATATATATATATATATATATATATATATATATATAATATATATATATATATATATATATATATTCTTGTTTTATTGTTTGCATTTCCATTTATTTATAGCTCTTTTATCATAAGCTGCTTCTTTTTGACGCATTAATTGCCTGCAATGAAACACTGATGCTTCAGAAAGGCGATCACTCCACTTTTCGGTTCACTTGCAAAGGGAAGCTAGTATACGACGTGGCGGCTTTAGTAGTGGTCGTCGGCCATGAAGAACCATCAAATTATTAATAAGCAGAACATCGCCTTTCTTCCAAGGTATAGCAACGCACTCTTCTTCCAGGATCTTTCTGTAATCTTCCACAGCATCATCAGGCAAAGGGTCGCCATTACCGATCTCGACACTTAGAAATTTTCCGGCAGATCCACTATATGTAGTTGTAATAGGGTTGAACCATGTTTTCCGGCGACTCTCTTTGTCAAACCTGACGGCTGGCAGTGGGCCTGTTGTAACTTTTGCAGCATTCCCAATCCATTCAATCTTTATTCCAAGCTTTGCTGCCCTGTGAATGGAAGAATCTCTTGAGCAATGCATGTTTGCATAAACTTGGTGAACTTTACTTGTATTATATTATGCAATGTTTTTTAAAACATGTTTGAACAACTGGTTGGACCGAGAACCCGAGAAATGAACGGTTCAACTAGTATCGGTTTTATGTCTATGTCTGAACTAAAATAAACCAGTCATTTTTTAGAAAAATCCGGTCGAAGCCGTTAAGTTAAACCGGTTGAATAAAATTAAAACACATGAAAATCAATCATTAGATAAGAACATATGGTTTTTCATAACTATTTAGATTTATTCTAATAAAAACACATGATAGATTTTATAAAATTTTCTAATGTGTTTTTATTTATCAAAAAGTTATATTTTGTTTCCTTATTATACTTTATTTTATTTTTGATATGTGGATTAATGTAAAACTTATTGGTATTAGTTTTTAATGTATTTTGATTGATCTCCAACTTTTATTTAATTTTATTTTTAATGTCTAAAGTTGTGGATGTCTATGTATGTAAGAAAATAAATTTAAAATATATATATATATATATATATATATATATATATATATATATATATATATATATATATTTATATCTAAAAAATTGGTTAAACTGGCGGTCGAACCAATTAATACGGAAACCGATCACTATACTGGTTCAATTAAAAACCGATTTTTAAATCATTGATATTATAGGGTTTTAAATTTTAAATGTGAAGAAAATAAGCATACATACGTTTCCTCAGCAACATTCTTATCATCTGTTTTGAATTTTGACTTCCAACTACGACCGGTGAAGGATGATGAATCGTCTTCATCGCTGATTACTTCTGTATACGTCAATCCATGCTCTTCTAGTCGTGCAACCAACTCTGGGTGCTTCTCTTTCATCTTTTCGTATATGATATGACTCAAAACTATCGGAGTTTCTCCCCCTTCTCCTGGTTCTTCATCACAATAGAAAAATACCTTCGTGGGGAAATCAGGAACCTGTACATGCATGAACATGTGAGCACTAAGTTGCAATTAGGTATGCCATTTGTTATCATGAAAAAAACGAGATTGACAGAATCGAGAAATTTACGTATGACATCTCGTGATGGAAAGGAATTCCCATATGGAGAGGAGATTCATTTGCGGTGTACACCCGGCCAACGACCTTCGTCCGACGGGCTATGCCGCCTAAGTAGGGAAATTCAGCGTAGGAGAAAGCTTCCACAACTCGGTCGAAGTCAGAAGGTGAGGAAACAGCGAAGCCTCGGAAAATAATAGCGCCGCTTTTCTGGAGAAGAGACTCCAGCCATGGCTTCTGAGCTCTAATTGCTTCTTCAAAGTCACGGAGTTCTTCAACTGCAGTGGAATCAGTGTTATGGTTAGGGGATAGCACCGCTGGGAAAAGAACGCCGTCGTCCTGGGGTTTTTGCTGAGGTAACTTTACGTCTCGGAAGAATTTTCCGGTGAAAGCTGCTACCACTTTTTGAGACGATTGAAGTTTTGGATCCTGGTGCTTCATATAGATATAGTTCCTTTGATGTATGTTTGATGTCTTTTTCTCTACGTAGTAACTATGGTACTTAGGCCAGCCTCCTGCTGGTTGTATCTTCATCATTTCGTTTATTTTAGTATACATATCCGCAGCTCTATGACAATGGCTTCCGGTGGTTGATTCTGACTCCATGGATTATTATCCGGGGCTGATATATATAGCCTTCATATTAGGGAAAATGACTTAAAAGTCCAACCAAGTTTTCAAACCGTTTAAAAAACCTCAATCATGTTTTGTCTGTTCAAAAAAACCCAACAAACTTAACATTTTATCTAAAAAGCCCAACTAAGTTACACTTTGTCGAAAGTCAAATAAGAGAAACAGATGACGTGGCTTATTACCGTATCGGAAAAATGACTTGTTAGACCAACGAAGTTTCCAAAACATTTAAAAAACTCCAATCATGTTTTGACTGTTCAAAAAAAAACTCAACGAACTTAAACAAAACAAAATTGGAATTTTCTGAACGGTTTGAAACTTTGTTGGACTTTTTAGACAAAAGGTTAAGTTCGTTGGGCTTTTTTCAACAAATAAAACATGATTGGAGTTTTTTGAATGATTTGAAAATTTCGTTGGGCTTTTAAGTCATTTTCACTTCATATTATAATCACATCATTTATAAAGGGTCCCACGTGTTTATTAGAGGTCCTTAATAATGGGTCCCATGTACTTATTTATTTCAAATCGCAATTTTTAAACTATTTTATATATTAGAACTTTCCATTGGCACAAAAAACATCATCTTTTTATTTATTTTTTCGGCAATGGTACTTCATTTTTTTAGTTATCGTTCTAAAGACTCTGTTTCTTTGATCTCGAGTTTTTTAATGAAAGGAAGCATACGAAGAAGAATGAAATGGAAGAAAAAAACAAATAACTAACATTGTCTTTCAGTTGAAATGGAATCCAAGTATTTAAGCCTTTTTTGACTTCCTTTCCTATCAATGGGTTGATGAAAAAGAGACATATTTTGCTCTCCTCCTATTTCATTCCATATTTTTCTTACTCTCTCCACGATCATGGTTATGTGAAGAATACGCCATTTATCATCCATTTATCATTTGGTAATGGTATTGGCAGAGCTGAAATAAACTCCTTTAACGTAAGGAGTATACCTCATAGCTTATATATATATACATAAAAGTAAGTATAATCTTGCCTTCTTTTCCCTTTTTTATCACCGTCTCGTCGTCATCATAGCTATGATTGGCTTCCGATAAAGAGTACATATCATTAATAAACACATGATCATTTTGACTTAGGCACCTCGAATAAGAGTTTTTTTCATAGCAAATAATTATTACATGGACCAATAAATACCACTCAAAATCATTGGCATTGGCGGTTTTTATAGGTGCTTATTGTGGCATCGCCAACACCTAACTTTTTAGATATTTTTCATGCACCGGCAATATCTATTTCAACATCGGCAACTTCTAATATGTATTCATGCGTCCCCACTAATCATTGGTGCACATATTTTTTATTACTTAATATACTACAAGAAATGAAAGTATTACCGGCGATAGACGTCGCCGATAAAAGTGTCATTCGCCACCGCTAATACTTTTAACAGTGACGTGTCGTCGCTGTAACATATATAATTTTCGGGAAAATGACTTATGAAGTTAACTAACTGTTGCATTTGTTTTCATTTGGTCCATTTTATTTTTTTGTACTCAATATACAATCGAACTTGTTGTTTGTATTCACCATAACCCTTTTGACTGGCTTTTGACCTGTGATAGCCGGTCAAAGGATTATGGTGAACACAAACAACAAGTTCGATGGTATATTGAGTTCAAAAAAAGAAAATTGACCAAATGAGAACAAACTTAACAGGCGGTTACCCTTCTAAGTTATTTTTCCCGAAAAGTTATATAAAATTAAAGTTGCAAAATTATCAAAGACTGCAACCTTCTTTGGCCATAACGTATATGAAGAATGTTTCGAAGAGGTGACTTCGTTAAAACATGGTCTATGCTATGCTTACTATGATTAGTTGTCAACACCTCTCTGCAAAAGGATATGAATGTATATGAGAGGTATATTTGTCAGCATAAACGTTTACCTCAAGGTATATTATGCTGATGTGTCAGCAAAATCTGCATGATATTGTACATATTGATGTTGTATCTTATCCCATGAGTTTGATCTTAAAACTAAGTAAACTCAAAATCATAGCACTTATGATTCCACTTGTTTGTAGACTTTGTCTAGAATCCATGATACGATAAATCATTTGATTGGAAATGTAAATGTAGTCATGAAATGCACCTGCTTAGTCAAGATTCCCTAATAAATTTTCAAGTGGATTACAAAGTTATACATGTATGAATAATGTTCTCTCATGGGTTTTGTTTTGAAGAGGAGCAAGAATGAATCTCATAAAGTCATTAATATCAGCAAGAGATGATGTGACATTTGCTATTAATGAGTAAAGGAAAAATGAATCAGGAGGGTAACCAACTGTTGCATTTGTTCTCATTTGGTCTCTTTCCTTTTTGTACTAAATATACCATTGAACTTGTTGTTTGTGTTCACCATAACCCTTTGACCGGCTATCATAGGTCAAAAGTCGATCAAAAGGGTTATGGTGAATGCAAACAACAAGTTCGATGGTATATTGAATACAAAAAAGGACTAAATGAGAACAAACATAACAGTTAGTTAACCTCAAGAGTCATTTTCCCTTAATTTTCAGGTATTTTCTTTTAACCACTGGGTTATGTTTTGTTTGCAAAAACAGTCCCCAATGGCATTTTCATAATTTTCGGATGCAGCTTAGTACCATGGGCGTACACCTAGGTATGTTGGGCGTACTCGGTTTCGTGCTAGTATGCTAGTATATGCCGGTACGTAGGGTGTACGCAACCAGGATACAAACCCTAATTTTTAGGGTTTGGACCCTATTTAAGCACATTTATAGACTCATGCACCCTCTTATCTTCAACCCCCTACCTCATTTCAAAACCCTAAAGTGTGTGAGTGTATTGTGAGGCTTGAAGAGCCTTTTTGTTCTTATTTTGGAGCTTTGGAGTAAAAGGAAGAACGATGTGGTTATGGTGTTTCACTCAAAGCATTGGATCCAACATCCATTTCCCTTGGTGCATCTTTTGGAGGTAAAAAGCTTCAACCTTGGTGTATGTTTCTTATGGATCTAGTTTTAGCTCAAAGTTGTCACCTTTTTATCCCAAAACTAGTCCTTGTGAGTAGGAGGTACTCCAAGACATTTGAGTTGTCCATTCAGAGGTTTTAGGGTGTGCTAAGTCATAAAAAATGTGTTTTCGGTCACTAGTTTCTCTACATGCATGAGCTAGAGTGTTTTAATGGGTAAAGAAGTTAGGGTTTATGGATCTAAGGTATTAATAGCCATTCTAAACCATCAAGTTGGAAACTTTATGGTTAAAGACACCCTTTTGAGCCTAGATATGAATTTTAGAGGTAAATGCTTAAGGAATAGGCACTTAATGGCTTAAGTGGATAGCAGCCGTGTACGTTTGGGCGTTCCAAGGGTTACTTTGTGCATACATGGTTATCTCCCTGATCCCTGGTCAACTGCATAGTACGCCCCACGTATGTAAGGAGTACGCCTCGCGTACTCTCTGAGTCAACTCGATTGACTCAGTTGACTTTTAACTGGATTTTACTAGGGTTAGACGTAGGGGTATTTTAGGTATTTTGACCTATATACTGATATTGTGCCCTTGAATTCATTAAGGTGATTGGTAGCATTGATCTCGGAGCGGCATGCTATTCAGTTGCTTATCTGTCTATCAGGTGGGTTTTCTCACTATATTCATGGGTCGAAGGCACCAATATTAACCCATTACTCATTATGTGGAATGCTAGTTGTCTCTGTGATGCTTGCATGAAAGACCAAGATCTAGAACCTGGCAATTGTATAAAAGACCAGGATCTGGCCACTGGCATTTGTATGAAAGACCAGATCTGGCCCCTAGCACTTATATGTAAGACCAGGATTTATCCATCGACATTGCAAGGAAAGACCATAGGGGTAGCCCGTGGCACTTGTATATTTTGTGTATGTGGTATTTTGGAGAACTCGTTAAGCTTTGTGCTTACCGTTTATGTTTATCGTTTCAGGTACTTATGATTCGAAAGGAAAGGTCCTAGTGTGATGGCACATCATCCTCCCCTCATGACTTCCGCCATTTGAAAT